ATTACGTGATTAAATGTAACGTGCATAACTGCAGCTTCGCTCGAAATTCTGGTTGGTGCAAATTATTCGAGGCTGCAAATGCATATTTACAGAAGCTACGTTTATGTCAAAGCTGGGTACGTAACGATTCTGTGTGAGACAAACGCGAAGCGCACAAGCGAATACTATATATACCTTACAACACGGTTGAGAGAACATATCCGTTCTGGAAAATGAGCATATGGCTATCTCTTTAAACTCTCGGCCCTTTCTCCAATTTAGACACATAATAACGTGGGCGCAATCGAACTATAACGCTGTTGTTGAGTGTCGCCGTGTCGTAAAAGCGCGCGCGAGCTCTTCATTTAAATACATATTACCAACTTCGGTCAACCGTATGTATATCTATTTCCATCAATAGATATTATTGTTCTGTACATCGCATCGCCGCGATACAATACGACAACCGTAACAAACCACATGGGTACACTCGCAGATATTCCTCGTTCTGATATGAAGCGTACGACAGTTAACAAAATGTTCGTCTCTCTATCCTCTATATATACATCATGTAGTGGAGAATATCTTTTTTGAAAATCAAATATCTTCTCTCCTTAACGCTAAGATTTAAGTTTGTAGATATGTGTGATTCAAGTCTTTTATATCTATGTATTATACTTTTTATCGTTATTACTACCGGTATTTTTTATTCATTATTGCACTTTTCGTTTTACATGTGTTTATGTTGGCGATGCTAAATCAGTAATGTTTCCGTGAGATGTCCAATTTCATCATAAATAATCGACTGTTTAACGATATTCCATTAGCACATGCTTTACGTGTAGATTAAAATGGCAGGTTGGTTAAATAAATCTAGCGTTCGCGAAGTAATCAGAGATAACGGCATAATTTTCTAAACGCGTAATGTGAAAATAGAATTCTAGTACGTCATGTCAAAAGCTGCATCACCTATTTGCGAAGACACTGGCAGCACATCAAGAATAGAGGTGTAAATCAGCGATCGGGTTTGGTCTTTTGAATATAATAGCGTTCAAGGAGGTTTACGTAAGAGCTACGATAAAATTGGGAGTTTGCTCACCATTTTGGCAAAGAAAGTTCTTAATGCATCTTACGTTCTTGCAGAGTTTAAATTCATTCTGTTGATTTCTTAGCTAGAGTATATTGTAAAAAAGAGAATTCGTTATCTTCTCGCCATGATTTTTATTTGCTTGATATTAGTCATTTTTTTCGAGGTAAATCTTTAAATTTGTGATAAATCTTGAAATTTAATAATAGCATGATCAATGTTGCAATAAAAAAAATAGCAGAAAGCAGTTTTCAGAAAAGAAACATTTCATGTGAATTTTAGATCTAAAAACAGCTGTGCCTGTATATAATCTTATAATTACAACTGGCATGATGCTTGTGATATCTTTAAATGTTTTTTTTTTCAAATTTGCATATTTACACATTATATTTTATATTTTTCGTAATGATAACGGCCGGAAGCAGAACGAAAATACGCTCTTCCGTTTCTACGAATTAGAGCAGCTGCCATTTCAATTACGGTTCAGGGAGCAGGGTGATATTGTTTGCCTGTCCAATATTTTTCAAAGGAAGATAATCCGTCTAATGGCGCCATGGAGAGAAAAGAAGTTCTTGTAAAATTCTAACATCATAAAAAGTCAGATCAACTGTATCATTTTTGATAGCTTCATGACAAAGCACTATAGTGTTGCAAAGAGAACAAGTTTTCCGCGATACTGATATTATCTTTAAAGACCATTTATGCGACATCTTATTTTACTAATAATAGCCTTAAATTAAAGAGTCATAGTATGTAATATAATAATATAATTTACAAATTGAAGAACAGAAATCATCTATTTTTCTGAAATTATAAATTAAAAGCGGGATCAATATTATCTCCTGCTTAAAAGTCTAAAAATAAATATTAAAAAAGGCATAATTTTTTAAAATTTAAGACATCCAACGTCGTTTTATGATATGGAAGAATAGCGGTTTTATATACATATGTAGCTTAGGAATCCAATGTAGTTTTATGGCTTAAAAGTAAATGCACGAATTATGTTCATTATGTCCGCCATTACGTTCAGCTATTTCGCTTTACCTCCAAGCCACAGAATGACGCGGGTTGTGGTAGTGCAACCTAACATATACTTTAATATACTAGGTAAACATATCAAGCACAAAATTAAACGCCCACAAAATTACAGCTACCCCTTAAAAGCTATATGAAGGTTAGAGGTAAGCTTACAGCTTTTTAGTTTCCATATTAGATTACTCTTGTTATATCTTCTGCAAATAATTATTATAAATTTTATCAACGTATATAATTATGATATTCACTGCGCCAGAGGTATTTCAAATATGCTTATTCTATTACATTACATATACAGGGTATAAATTAATAAGCATCAAATATTCTAGGAATGTATTTCCATCCAAACATTACAAAAAATTTATATAAACATGAATATCGTTTAATATTCGACAATATTTAAATGTTCATTACTTGTTCCATTAATTGCTTGTCATTGTTAAACAATATAATTCCTTCTATCCAAAAAACTAAATATTCCATGTTCATAAATTCTTTATATATTTGGTCGATAGAAATGTGTGTGTGTGTGTGTGTGTGTCCCTAGAATATTTAATAATTATTAATTTACATCTTGTATACTTTTGATATTTTCATATAAAAAATTAAATGAACAATTAACGATTAAATACACTGTTAGAAATGTGAGTTTCTTTTACATATAAATGAAGCTCGTGGTTATGAACGAAATTGAAAGTAATGAATGATTTAACTGAAAATTAAGTTACAGTAGTTACTTAAATTAAATGTAATGAACGTGTACATTAAATTTCATAAACTTTCATGAAAAATACATTAAATTTCATGTACATGTACACAAATATACTTTTCAGTTATAAATACATTAAATTTAATGTAATGTCATGAAATTAAGTTCAAATTGTGTAAATTAAAAGTATATTAAATTTCATAAAATTTTTAACAGTGTATGTATTACGTTAAGATTATGTATGTAGGTGGATTTGACGTAGGTGGAATGCAATAAACCGCCATATTTTATATATCATGTTACGCGTTATATTACCTGTAATATCTCGTAATGTTTCGATATGTTATTATATTTGATTAACAGGATTCGATAATGCAATTTTTGCATATATCGACGTTCTAGTAAATATTAATTCCGAAATAATAATCATATGAGATAGGAGAATCGCAATCTCGCGTTACAAGCATGATACAATATAGGATTGTACCTGATCGGGGCAGGAACATGCTGAAATTGCCAGAATACAATTGCGACGTGTTATGCTTCTCAGTGCATTCGAGAGAGGATCATGTAACACGTAGAGATACTAACTCTCAGGTGCACCGACACGTTACGCAATGCACATAGGTGAAACGACCGATTGAATGTGACAACGCGCGCCATACCGCAGCACGCATTTGCAACTTGCTATAAATCCCTTAATTAGATCATCAGCGTAATATTTCAGGGTTGGCCAGAAAAATTCAGTGAATGGAAAAAACCATCCATGGTAAATTCCGGATTTTATCGTCTCGGACTTTATACCCAATGAAATAAACTGACAAAAATTATAAAAACGGTATGTAATATGTAATAACAAAATATTTATATACTTTATGAAAAAGATATTTTTTGCTTTTTAATTAATAAAGCATATTAATCATGCGCAGTTTAAAGAAAAACGAAACAAACCTGTAACAATAAAACATTTCACAATAAAGTATCTTTTACTTCAACTTAATATGTGAAATATATTTTTAAAACAAGAATTTTGGAGATAATATAAACGTTATTAAATTTTATATCAATTTTTAGTTTCATGAGAAAAGCATAATAACAATAAAATTAAAATTGTTTATATTAATATAAATCTGCTTCGCCATACAATATCTTACGATAAAAACTAATTTATTTGTTACGTCGATTTTTAATCTATTACGGATGTCATTTTGGATAAAATTTAAATTGGAAAACATTTTCTCAATTGACGTTAAACTAGAATAGTGATTAGAATATCGATAACAAAATTTTCTGTTTATTGCTTTTAATAGAAAAGACCAATTTTTGTTTTTTTTTTCAACCAGTTATTTTTCCACCGGCATAAACTTTAAAATGTGAAATGTTGCTTTTATTAGGAAATATCATATTTTCTAATAAAAATTAGAAAATAAGTCGATCAATCCAAACAGAAGAACGAAAGAAATCAGAATTGAGATATTTTTCAGACTGCCTGAAACAAACTGATTGTGAGATATAACTGCGATATTTAATTTCTACAAAACATTTCTACACAACAAGCGCAACTTGCTTGCCCTTCTCATTAAAATTCACCAAGCTTGCAGAAAGCGGCATCCGTCCGATTGTTACATTATACAAGCGAAAAAAGTGAGAAAATAACTGACTTCTCGTATTAAGATAACTTCTATGCCGCCGTGATACATTAAATGCAACAATGTTATCTCGCAGGGCTATTTCCTTCCAAAGCACCTGCGGCGTCGTTCATAATCAACTCCTTATCCCTCTCGAAAGGTCAGCAACCACGTATCTCTAATCCTAAACTAAAGACATCTGACACAGATATGCATATGCGAAAGTTCTAAATATTATCGCGCATTGCGGCTGTTACTCTCTTCACATTTGATCCTATCAATTCCCAGCATAAATTATGCTTTGGAATTAATTTGGAATTGTTGCAAGCCGTACAAGATTTACAAACATCGCGCATAGTACATAATTTGCTACGAATTATATTACGCAAATATAATCACAGGAAACGTTTAATTAGCACATATTCCATGATCTATTTTATCCAATCCATTTTATAATCCAAATATAGATATGTCACAGTCGATTTTTCATGTTTCAATTCCCATAATCTTTGATGATCGATATCTATTGAAACTTTAACCAACGTCTACTTTTGTTTTACAGAGACGAACGAAGCAGCCCTCTCCAGAGACTATCAGAGATAAATCGTTTCAGGACGTACGTACTCGACACGAAGAATTTAAAGAGCCAATTTCATCGAGCAGCGACTTCATTGTGCATTGAAAATCGAAAAATTGGTATAGAGGTCCAATCGTCGGAATTCACTTTGCAGTAAATTATTGATTTTACTAAAAAAAAAAAAGAAACGTTAATTATAATTCATTACGAGATTATTAAAATTACGCGTGAGTGACAAGTGCACGTGATAAATTGGTAAATGTTCGCGAATAAACACGGCGAACGAAATAATTAAGTCGTCAAATCAAGATTAAATAAGTGTAAAGAAGCGAGAAAAAATGAAGCTTAGGAAATCAGTGTCGAACGATCCTGTTAGTCGGCGCTTAATGAGTGCCACGTGAATGTGCGGAAAAGAGGACAACTACCGAGATGAAACTGGGAGATAATATGACTATGGAAGGTGAGTAAATTCTAGCTAGAATGATTGACGTATTACTCATTTCAGCATGTCTGATGAAGAGTGATTTGTAAAAATAGCATGTGATAATTTCTTAATATAGTGTGATGTTTAATCTAGAAATGTGTGTGTGTCTAGACTAATTATATCTCTAACTCAATTATAGTTATTATTTCTAACTCGCTACGTACACTGAGAAAAAAGATTTGTTCAACTAACTGAACACATTTAGTTGTTTGCAGATTTGGTTAATTCAACAAATTTTATTTAATTGAATTTAACCTTAGTCTGCTTAACAAGCTGTTCAATGTTAAACAGACAATGTTAAATTCGGTTAAATAAAATTTGTTAAATTAATCAAATCTGCAAACAACTAAATGTGTTCAGTTAGTTGAACAAATTTTTTTTCTCAGTGTATGCATACCAAAATAATATCGGATCAGGAATTTTCTACTTCTCGTGACTTTATGAAGATAAACAGAATTTTTTCCATAATTTCCGAATACTATAATTTATTTTTAAAAAGTGCGAAATTAACTAACTAAACTTTCGACGTAATCTAGTATCCTGAATATAAATCTCAAATAACCCGTTGCGTGCTACAAACTGATATTTCAAATCGTTAAAAACGTAGGATCAACCTTGAAAGTTTTCACGACTAAGAAGTATACCAGTGGAAGTAAAAGTTCAGATTTATTAATCGTTCAACACACACACACACACACACACACACACACACACACACACACACACACACATACACACTTCTGTTTAACACTATCCACATGTTTCTTTTTGCAAAGACGACATGATGTTCGTTGAAAACGTGCCTCAACTCTTTGGCTTCTCTCGCGCGACCTTTGATCCAACTTTGAATCCGGCAAGATCGTGCAACATTTGTCAAGCATTAAATGTGCAAACACGACGAGAGCTATCGACGCTAGGTTTTCAACGGCAAGACGAACGACGTGATTAATTTTGTACTTGACAAAACTGAAGAAGTAAACACGAATTTATAACTCAGATTTATTAGTTTTATATGGGACACATTTTACTCTAAATTCCCAAAACGCTACTATGAAATTTTCTTTTAAGTCAGGTAAAATAGACTTGACGTGTTTTAAGATTAGCTTGGGAAAACGCGATATAAGGCGACATCTTGAAGGACATCTTATACTTGCACTATAAACTCAGTTTATTCTCAAGCCTGTTCTGAATATGCCACAGCATGTGAATCGTGAATATAAATAACAATTTTATATATCCAAAGCGTATAACCCTTGTAAGATAATAAATAATTCATTTAAAGAACGAAGCGATGTAACTATTTACATTCAAATCAGGTTAGTATGAATGTAGGCGCTTGCATGGGTATTAATCAATACTCTAATTGGAGAGATAATAATTATACCTTCACTAATTGTATGTCGAAAATAAAAAGAAATCGTAGCATACAGAAAATATCTGCAAATAAATTTATATTTTCTGCTCAAATTCTGACACTTTTGCTCATTTTCTAACAAAAATTAAATTGAAAACATCTTTTTATATGTAGATCTATGTATTTCATTGAAATAAAATTAAATAATCGATATGCATTCTTTGTTAAATAATCTATCTAAATATTTTAACATATTTTTAGTATCGATAAAATAATTATTAATATTACTACATATAATATCAAGAAAATTCACATTGTGTAAGTATTCTGCAATACATAGATATGAATTTACATAAAATATGTAGAACCTCACAAAAGATTATTTCTCAAGACATCTTAACATGACACAATTTTTTAACAAGCAATGCAATCTACAACTCGCGAACTACAATAGATATATGTAAATGAAATTCACAGTCCGTACCTCGAAATAATTAATTTAATTCTACACAGCAAAGAACAGCATTCGATGTAGCACAGGGAAGCAGTTGACGCGCTTGACTTCGTTGAGAAAATATTCACTCGTAGTAAAACGGGTGAAGCATTTAAACAAGATGTAATTTACTGCGACTGTAAAATGGTGGTACGCTACAATGTTCGCGGCGCGAAGATCGTTTCACATTTTACTGCCAGTAAGATACAAAAATGAGATACAAATTTTATTATTGTGAAAGCGCAAGTCAATTATTTCTTATTCAGCTTTTAACATATATTGGACTCCATATTAAAATATAAATATTAAAATGCAAAAAAATTAATTTACCTGAAATTACTTTAAGAAAATTATTAATTTTTTCTTTTATATAAGAAAAAAGTAGCTATATAAAGCAAGACAAATATATAACACGAAAAAAGTGTGGAGGGAAAGCTTTTAAGAGGTTTCTCTGTGTACAGGAAACAAAAATAACATTATTGTTGCGAAGCACTACTACTTTTGCTTCACACTGCTACGATTCTCGCATATATAAAAATAAAACTTTTTATTTTATTACCTTTTCTGTTTCATATTTTCTTGCTACTATATTGATATTGTGTATGAGATTTCTTTTTTATACAGCGTTTTTTTGCAGTTTTATTTCGAGAAAGTTTTTCGCAAATAATCATTTTTTCACTTGTTATCTAAAGTGCAAGTCGTTGAAGTATATAATTTTTGTAACTCTCAGCTAATATTAGTATTAGTATCATAGATATTGCATTGATACTTTCTTGATAATATTGACATTAATGTTTACGAACTGAAGAATATCACATTTTATTTTAATCTATTATTTTCAGGATTGGGTAAGTTAATGTTTTTTTTTAACTGAATAAAGTTAAAGTTAATGACTTTACAAAATCAATACAGTTAAGTTAAAAGTTGAAGAATAAAAAATTAACTTAACAACAGTTAAGTTAATATTGAATCAACTTAAATTTAAAAAAAGTTAGTTTCGAAAAAAATTATTTTTGAAGTCAAAATGTCTTAATTTTTCTTAAAATAAGATTAAATAACAACTACAATATAGATTATTAAGTAAATTAAATTTTTAATTTTTTTATTCACATATGATATAACATAACTTTTTAGGTTTTTATTTTTTAATAAGCCTTGAGCCATAAGAAATGGACCAATTACATTCAAATATTCTCCTCATATTCGACTGTAATTGGTCAATTTCTTATGACTTAAGATTTAAAATATCTATTGTAGATCCGGACTAAGGTTTATGGCATAAGGCATAAGCCAATTAGAGGGCTGTATTAGCATCTTAAGAAATTATTTAAGATGGTCTTAAAATATGAACGAATTACGAATATACGCCATTAGTCTTATTATATTTTATTATTTTTCTAAGGCATTTAAAAGAGATAAAAAAATATTTAAATTAAAAAAAAGTTAAAAAGTTAACGTTTAAAAGTAACTTAGTTAAGTTAAAATTTAATACATTTAAAATTAACTAAGTTAAGTTAAAAGTTATTAACTTTTTTTTTAACTTTTAACGTTTTAACTAGTTACTACCCAACACTGATTAATTATTTTATAGATTAAAAGATAGATTATTTTATATCTCACTTTGTGAATAATAAAACTTTCATCAAAATTATTTCATCAATTATTTCGATTATTTTTTTGGAAGAAAAAAGGAAAGTAGACAACTTTTGTACTCTGATTCATTTACTTAAGGTTTTATGTATTCAAATTTACATTAATAACTATGAAATATAATTAGTATAAAAAAAATGGAAAAATAGTTGCTATAAATCTTTGTCATAATTTTAGTGGGTAATAAATAATATTAACAAATATGAAAATATCACAAAAATATAAGTCTCGAAAATGCAAAAAGATAATTAAATTGTGCTGTATATTAGCATACGAATTTGTTGAATTGCTCCAAAAGATATATTCTACGATAAGTTTTTTCGCTGAGACCGTTAATAATCCGACGAGTGTCGGAAATCTCTTTGCCGTTAGTAATCTGACTTTTCTCTGCAGAAAAGCTGTAAAAATGTTTCGCGTGACAATTCAGTCGTCTTTGACAATTCAGAGAAAATTTCGTGAGTGTTTGTTGAAGGAAAAAAAACTTACGTTTAAAGAATATTTTTACGTTTCAATTAATTTTAGGAAACATATTTTACAATTGTTTCGCGTTGTAGCGATTATATCTCGATGGACACAATAGTTTTTTCATTATTTTTTTCTTAAGAAATTGTCCTATATCATTTTACTTTTCACAAATTTAAAGCAATGTATTATTATAGTAAATGTGACAATATAATAAGCTTTAGTCTTTTAGAGAATATTTCGCTCATCCGAAAGCTATTGTTGATTTATAATTTCGCATGGCATACGCTGGAATTATCTGAGAATATCCCAAGTAACACATTTCAATTACATTGCCGCGGAGCAATGTGATGTAATGAAAATAAATCAGATTAAATTAAATCCCGAAATTCTTCACTCATGAAAGAGAGAGGAGAGAATAGGGCGGAAATCAGCATATCACGACTCTTAATCAAGATTCCACTGATTAATGATCTCGCTGTCGATTACAAATGAAGCTATATTTTTCTCTTTTTTGTCTCTCTCTCTCTCTCTCTTTAGTTTTCCTTTTCTGTCATTCTCTCTTTCTCCTATCTCTTTTTCTACCATTTTAGATACAGTGAATACACAAATAATCTCTGATTGATGATTCGACATTGCTATTTTCTCTGTGCTTCGTTTGAATACGCAATATGTTGAAATAAATAACCATTCAACGCACTAATTATAGTTGCAAGCAAATGTTACATAGCATTATAACAATGCAATTTATAACAATGCAGTTTACAACAAGTTTATAACAGTCCAGTTATCTTATTTATAATATCGGTATTTTCAAATAAATAAATTTGATTAATTCAATTTTTCTATGATCTTATCCAATTTTTGTTGCCATTTAGAAATATTTTTAGAATACTTAGAAAATATGACAGAAAATATTATAATTTTAATATAAATATAAATGTAATTTTTTAATAAAATAAATTAAAATATTTATGTATTAAACTTTTGCATCAACTTTCTTTTATAAGTTGAATA